ATGTATTTTGATGTGCTGAATTCAAATATGACAATTAAAACAACTGATTGGCTACTGTTTAAGATTTTAAGATTTTACATTTTATGTCTATGTATATTGTGTAGATAGTAGAGTTTTAATCATAAATTGTAAACCTAGGTCTTTTCATGTGTTTATGGTGGCTTTACATGATAATATTTCACCTGTCCTGTTTATGTAACACTTTAAAAATCAGCAAAAGGGTTATATAAATAAAAATTATGAAACAAAAGGCAAAAAACTATTCTGTACATAGTTTAGTCCTATTCAGTGTCTACTCGGCGCTTCTTGGCTTGTCTCTTGTATTCATTAAATGGAGCATCTCTTGTCACTGTCCAGCAATAGTCTGCAAGCATTGATGGGCTCCATTTGCCCTGATAGCGTTTCTCCATTGTTGCAATGTCCTGGTGAAATCGCTCGCCGTGCTCGTCGCTCACTGCTCCGCAGTTCGGTGGAAAAAAAAAATCTAGCTGAGAGTGCAAAAAATGTATCTTTAGTGACATGTTGCAACCAAGGCTTTTGTATGCCTTGAGGAGGTTTTCCACCAACGACCTGTAGTTGTCTGCCTTGTTGTTTCCGAGAAAATTTATTGCCACTAACTGGAAGGCTTTCCATGCAGTCTTTTCCTTACCACGCAGTGCATGGTCAAATGCATCATCTCGAAGAAGTTCACTAATCTGAGGACCAACAAAGACACCTTCCTTTATCATAGCTTCACTTAACCTTGGAAATTTTCCACGGAGGTACTTGAAAGCTGCTTGTGTTTTGTCAATGGCCTTGACAAAGTTCATCATCAGACCCAGCTTGATGTGTAAGGGTGGTAACAAAATCTTCCTTGATTCAACAAGTGGTAGATGCTGAACACTTTTCCTCCCAGGCTCCAATGACTGTCGGAGTGGCCAATCTTTCTTGATGTAGTGGGAATCTCTTGCACGACTATCCCATTCGCAGAGAAAACAGCAGTACTTTGTGTATCCAGTCTGCAGACCAAGCAAGAGAGCAACAACCTTCAAATCGTCACAAAGCTGCCACTGATGTTGGTCATAGTTTATGCACCTCAAAAGTTGTTTCATGTTGTCATAGGTTTCCTTCATATGGACTGCATGACCAACTGGAATTGATGGAAAAACATTGCCATTATGCAGTAAAACAGCTTTAAGACTCGTCTTCGATGAATCAATGAACAGTCTCCACTCATCTGGATCGTGAAGGATGTTGAGGGTTGCCGTCACACCATCGATGTTGTTGCAGGCTACAAGATCACCTTCCATGAAGAAGAATGGGACAAGATCCTTTTGACGGTCACGGAACATGGAAACCCTAACATCACCTACCAGGAGATTCCACTGCTGTAGTCTGGAGCCCAACAGCTCTGCCTTACTCTTGGGTAGTTCCAAATCCCTGACAAGGTCATTCAGTTCACCTTGTGTTATGAGGTGTGGTTCAGAGGAGGAGGATGGGAGAAAATGTGGGTCCTGTGACATTGATGGTTCAGGACCAGAAGTTTCATCCTCTTCCTCGTCTGACTCAAGTGAGAATGATTCTGGTGCATCAGGAACCGGCAGTCCTTCTCCGTGGGGTACTGGGCGTATAGCTGATGGAATGTTTGGATAATGCACAGTCCACTTTTTCTTCTTTGACACACCTTTCCCAACTGGAGGCACCATGCAGAAGTAACAATTGCTGGTATGATCTGTTTGCTCTCTCCAAATCATTGGCACTGCAAAAGGCATAGATTTCCTTTTCCTGTTCAACCACTGGCGAAGATTTGTTGCACAAGTGTTGCAGCATATGTGTGGGGCCCACCTCTTGTCCTGATCTCCAATTTTGCAGCCAAAATAAAGGTGATAGGCTTTCTTAACCATAGTGGTTATACTGCGCTTTTGTGATGCAAAAGTCACTTCACCACAAACATAGCAGAAGTTATCTGCACTGTTCACACAAGTACGAGGCATCTCTGCTCACTTTGGCTAAACAGAAATGTGTCCCTTTGCAAAATCAAACACTGACAAATAAGAGAGCACGACACTGTATGATTTCTAGAGCTGATATAGGGCAATTTGTTCAGCAGAGTGATGTAAGCTTCGTTATGATTGCATCATCCATGACGTCTAAGAATAACATGATGCAATTCATATCATGTATGACGCAATACTAGCTTCAGATTGCATCATTCATTGTTTTGCCTAAAAAGCAAGTACTGTCCAAACCCAGTCATAGATTTATTCATAGATCCAGTCAAAGATGTATTTTAGTCATTTCTGGTTTAAATTGAGATCCCTTCCCTTTATAACTCACTTATCCTCCGCCATTCCCAAGTCAAGGGTCGTATATACTGACCCAATAGCATATCTTGAAAACTAGAGCCAATCAACAATTTTAAGCATCATTTTCGTTCTCAGTGACCCAGAATTAGTAAAGTTTGACTACATTTATTTCAGAAGCATTTTGGCTGTAGAGCAGTGATATCCTTTTGTTTGTGATTACCAGGACCCGCTGTTCAGAGGTCAGCTGGTTTCAGCCCTCCTGAAAATAAGAGGTGGTTTCCAAAAGGGGGGCGGAAAGGGGTACACATCCAGTAATGGTTCTGATTGGCTCTCAACAATGGCATCTAACTTGCCGCCATAAGGTAGATGAAGTAGGCAGCAAAGAAGAGGCAAAATGCCTCCTGCATTTGAACCTCTGCAGCATCTTCAATTTTTAAAACCTAAGAGGTCATTGGAACAAGAGGTAGAGGGGCTCTGCCTAGCAAAGTTTTGCAGGTCTGTCCTGCCTCCTCCGGGTGGCTGATTTGTATACATCCAAGGAGTGGAGCTCTCAAATCCTTCATGGCTTCACCAGTTCTAATGTTAACTAAGTCAAAATCTTCAAACAGGAGGTTCTCAAGTGTCATTTGGACCCCCTGTAGTATTCTCGAAAATGGGCACCATGAAGCCCACATCACAATGAAAGTGGCCACTGCATAGGCTGCCATAGCAGGTGTCTAAAGCAGCCTGCACAAATGTTTGGAACACTAACGACCCTTCAGATGCCAGAGACCTTAGTCCTTCCCTTTCATTTTGTGGTCACTTCTCTATGAATTGTGACACCCTGTCCCCCTTTGGATAGTTATATTTTGATAGAAGTACTTGATAATTCAAAATGTGCATCTGGAGACTGAGAGAAAACCTTCCTGGGGGAAAAAAAAAAAAAACTAAACAGGGGAGCTACCCCATCTACAGTGCTGTATGGTTCTCTTGAATTCTCCCATAACCTGAGCAGGAGAGCTCATCACCAGTATTAGTGAGTGGTACGAAGGAAAAAAATGTCTTCAGTTGTGTGATCATGAAATAATCAATACATAGGACATCTTGGATACCAAGAAAGTCTGTTCCAGAAACATCTGCATTGTGGAGATAGACAGTGTCAAGGGCACCAAGGTTATCCATTCCAAATGTGTCCATATCAATATCAGCCCCAAGGAAGCAGTACCAAGAGAAGTGAAGACTCAAGTTTCAGGGAATACTGTGGGTACCTGGACACCAGCCAGTGCCAAGACATGAGCTAAAAAAATAGTTTGTGGCCCAGATCTGGTCTGTCTGAACAACACAAGTAACAACAGTTGGTGAGCTTTCTGTCTCTGTCTAGTCAGAACCAGAGAGGGTGTCCTATATCTGTGCTCTCCGGGAAAAATGTTCCTTCTTACCCCTTTCTGACAACTGGGTGGAAGAGGTCTGGCTGCTCTCCCAGTCTCAGTATCTGAAGGGTTCCATCTTTTCAATGACGAGTGAGCCCAGTACCTCACAATTCACAGGAGCATTAGCCAAAGAAGACTGTTCAGGCCTAGTGGGAATCTCTCCCCTCCCCCCGCAAGCCCAAGGAGGCTCTCATCAAGCACTCCAGACGAAAAAATTGAAGGCAGGCCTGCCTCTTGCCTTCTGTGTCCTCTTGGAGAAACAGCAACAGATCAACAGATCTGTCAAGTATCTGTTAGGAATGTATCACTCACCAAAGGAATAGAGGCATCGAGTACCCATCATTGTGCGGGATAGCCACCTTGCAAAAGTGTTAAGTTTTAAATCCCAAAGACTTTGTTTCTGACATAGCAGCTAGAGTTCTAGTACTAGGGGTATCCCATAATTTATTATCTTTTTATGTGCCAGTGACTGTAAAAACAAAGGAATACTATGCTAACCGAGAAATTGCACAGCACGCAGAGTAAGCAGACACTACGTGGGTTCTGTCCCACTGCTATACTTGGCAAAAAGGAACCAAATGATGGTTGGGCCCGCTGTGCCCTTTATGTTCTCGGGTAGGTGGTGAAGATGGGCACCAAGGCATCTTAGGCACAGGCACAACCCCAGGAGACGTTGCTAGCCAAAAAGAATCAGATCTTATGCACACCAAGAGTGGAATCCATGTGGACAATCACTTGAAACTCAGGTTTCAGAAAGGTTATATGACTTCAGTGGGAGTTGAAGGTATTCAAAACAGCATGAACAGCACCAAGCATTTTGAAGGATTTGGCTTGACTGAATACACTTCTCCATATCATAGAATGGATGTCTTTTGTTCCATAATATAAACAAAGCAGCAATCCATTACTACTTTATACTAAGTCACTTATTAGTCACACTTATTCTGAGTGCTAAACATTTCATCAAGTACTGTACTTGTCTTTACTCTACTGCATCTCCAGTTATACCATACAGAAAAAGCAGCATTTACAGATGCCATATTGGCTAATTGGTATAACAAAGTTTAGCACCATTACTCATAAAGCTATGCTTTTAATAGGAGTTCAGGAGAACAAGTTACCTAGTACGTACAGCTATAATTTCCAGCAGACTGCACAGTACAAGCAATACAGTTATCACAATTACCAATTATTAGACTGTGTCATAGTCAACATACTATAGCTTTTTTACATGTTAATCTTATAATCGGTAATGCAGCAGTACACAGATATACCCACTGATTTTTTAAAACAAAATTATATCCACCTTTTATCAGCTGTGAATACAGAAGATAAAATTTCTGATAGTATAGTTTCTAGTTTCCCAGTTTTACTCATCTGTGTACAGGAAAAGAAGAAAAAGATTAGTACAATAAATGAGTTGTAGCCCATGAAAGTCACAGCTCAAAGTTTAGGCATACTTAAGAAATCCATTCCAGTTTTAGAGACCTCAGGTTCCAGCAACATTCCCTACATTTAAAGAGGGAAATACAAATTCTAGAGAGGTCACCTGTTCAAGAAGTCTTCCCCCTTAATTATAAGGAGTATTGCTGAAACTAGTGAACTCTTGAACCAGAATGAATTTTCAAGTGGGTTCATAGAATTCACTTTATTAGCAGTTATATATTTTATTTAATAACTAATGCTTGTACTATGCTTTAGATTAACACATTTATGTAACAGATACAAGAAAAGTATTTTGTATGCAGCTCTGTTGAGCTATATTGGTACTGAGGATTTTAGGGAGGCCTCCCTACTATCACTCTTAAGCACAGGTCCACCAGTACTAGCCTTACCACCACAGTGCTGTCTGACCCTGCTCAAAGCCCATACATACAACAGGGTGGAAAAAGTGTCAGCTGTAGCCAGTTAGCACTCCCACCTTTTCTAGGCAACAGTGAAAGATTTCTCTGGAACCCCCCAGTGAAGACAAGCCCAAGGAAGACACAGGCTAGAGGCTAAAATGAGTGAAGCACGTCAGGAGACAGCACAGATAGAAAGAGACATATATAAAGAACAGGCGGAATTCCCAGTGTTACCATTACAACGCTACTTACAACCCCACCCCGACCCAGGATTTCCCCTGCTCGCGTCCCCAGGCTCGCCTGGAAGATGCTAGGATAACTGGCAAGCGGGACCCTGTGCAATGCCATCTCCTGGGTAACACTCAGCTCCACGAGGGCATCTGCTTGGCCCAGCAGCAGCAGAGGGACACCGCACTCCGTGCAGGGGTTTGGGGGACGAGGGAAACGCTCCCCCCGGAGCGGGCTCGGCGTTAGACACTACCCCGCCTTACGGCAGAACGGCACCGCCGGCCAGGGGCGCGCCCTCAAGCCGTAGAGGGGCCCCTCGGCGCGGCAGCCACGCCGCGGAAACAGGAGTTAAGGAAACTCCGACCCGCACGAGCAGGGCCCCGGCTGACGGCACAGGGGCCCCCCGTGCCGCCCAACGCCCAGGGCGAACGCGCTGAGGGCGAGCGGGCGCAGGGTCCCCGGGCAGCACCTATGGCAGGTGCCCACGGCACAGCGGATGCTCCCCTACCCGGGCAGGGGGCCGCGGAGTAACAGTCCCGCTACCCCCACAGCGGGCGAGGGGCAGACCCCGGGAGTTACAGCCGGCCGGGGACAGGAGGGGGAGCTGCGCCCTGCTCCCCTTGGGGCTCGCGCCCGCCCTCCCTTACCCGCCTCTCCGCGCTCCACCGGGGGCAGACAGCTCCCCACGCACCGGCAGCAGCTGTCTGAGAGCAGCCTTCACCCCGCCTGCCCCAAATCTCTGCCGCGGCGAGTCTCCCTCCGGCCGGGCGGGGCGGGCACGCGGGCCCGCCCATAGGCCCCACCTGTTGCCAACGCAGAGACTGGGGGGAGGGGGACCGTAGCTCCAGGGACCGTTTCATTTAAATTCAGACTCTACCATTCTCCTCTCTCCCCGGGGGGGGAGGTGCTGCTCATGTATCCCACCTCGCAACTGCCCCCTTCGGAACGGAGCTGGGACTCCCTCCGCGGAAAGTGTTTCTGCCCCTTTGCCCCCCCTTTCTGTGATACGTTGGTAGAGTCCGGATGGTGGTTCTCTAGAGCAGCGGGGTGGCTCAGTGGGAGCAGGGGGTTTGAGGGCATCTTTCTGCTGCCACGGGAGGGGCAGGATTGGGCCCTTCCCCCATTAGCGGGCCTGCTCTTTCCAGGCCAGTTGTCAGCAGTTGGAGGCTGGGCCCAGATTGTGGCTTCTCTCTGAGGCACTCAAAGCGCTAATTCCTGAATAGCACCTAGAGAGGCTAAGCAGAGACCGCAGGGGCCATAGACTCATTGGCCTGGAAGGGACCTCGAGAGGTCATCCAGTCCAGTCCCTTGCACTCAAGGCAGGACTAAGTACTATCTAGACCAGGGCTGGGCAAACTTTTGGGCCTGAGGGCCACATCTGGGAATAGAAATTGTGTGGCAGGCCATGAATGCTCACTGAACTGGGGTTGGGGTGCGGGAGGGGGTGATGACTCTGGTTGGGGGTGGGGATGAGGAGTAGGAAGATGCTCTGGGCTGGGACCAAGGGGTTTCTGGAGTTGGTTCCTGGGAGAAGGGGGGGTGAGAGAGAGAGACAAATCCACTTCCCCGAGATACTGTAATCTAGGCTATGCAAAAACCACAGTTCTGGGTAGCAAGATTCTGTGCTGGGTTCACTTTTTAGTTTTATGGATCCAAAGTTTTGTTCAAATCCAAACCACATGAAACTGGATGAACTTAAGCACGTTTCATTAAAATCAACAAATCTTACCAGGACCTATCTAACTGTGTATTCCAACTGCATGAAAACAACCCTCTAACTAACAAGAATGCATCATGAGTCCCTACCTATGGTCACCATCACATCAAATAACCTATTAACATAATTCATCTAAACTCAGCACTTATAGGAAGAAACTATTACAAGTTACTCCACCCGCTCTAGTTATGAAAGAAAAGTCTAACTAAATCTCAGTGTCTAATTATTGAGTGTTCTGCAACACTAACCAGTCTTTTTTAAATTATAAATTTTACTTACTCTTGAAATTTCTCAAATATTTCCCAAAATATTTCTAATAAGTATTGAAAGAGTTAAACTTCAGTCAGTCAATAAAAACCACTGAGTTATTTTTTCTATAAATCTGCCATACCTATGGCAGTATGTGTGGTCTTCAGATTTTGACAGAGGGAAAAATGACAAAATCCTCAATGATTTAACTAAAAAACTTCAAAAACTGATAGTACCCCATTACTTTGATTCACCTCTGCCTTGCACCTTTCAGTCTTTACACCTGTGCAATATTGGTACCATTCTGATTTGACAGCAGATGCGGACCCACCTTGTGCAGGTGTGAATGGCCACACAAGGAACGAAGCAACCAAGATTCAAGTCTGCTGAATTTACTCACATATATACACAAATCCTTAAAAATCAAAGTTAGGGCCAGGTCCTCAATTGGCATAAATGGGTGTAGCTCCATTGATGTGCAGCACCAGGAGCTGTACTCATTTACACTAGCGGAGGATCTGATCCTTAGAAGCCATTTACCTGATCATGATATTCTTATGTATTCAAAAGATATCTGCAGTTGTTAGCAACAGAAATTTTGCTTGGGTAGAGAAGTCAGGAATGGACAAAGACTCAACATTTAAAATAATAACAACAACAGTTACAGTGCAAACACAGGTTTCTGTTCTGGAGCTATGATATGTGATTAGAGATAATTGGCAATTTTCCAACAAAATAGTTTCATGAAATCTAACTTTTGCTGAAACACAAGCAAGTACCATTGGAACAAAAGTAAATTCAAAAATACCAAAACTTAAGACAAACCAAAATCCCCAAGTTTCAACCAGTTCCATATGTGATCTAGTTATAGTCTTTGTGCAAAGATTGAGTAGGGCAAGCTCTATATGTGGTAGTTCAAACAACATTAGGTTTCCTCCTTAAGGGAAAGGATAAATATAATATTTGTTGCTGGGTAGATACCGAATAATTTTTGGGGCACAACTTCGTTATTATTTCACTTTCCTTCAAATGGGAAGAGCAAGCCTTTTGCTAAATGGATTGTCTAATGTCACGGTAGTTTCTGCACGTATCTTTGTGTATGACACTTTCACTATCAAAGTGTAAATGTGATGGATACACAAACCCCACACTGTGCCTGAGTTAAAAGTGAATATCAGCCCATGTAGTGCTGCTCCTACACGCCTGCCAAACATGGTCCAGCTAGAGAAGCAGGTTAAGGGGCTCAGAAGCCCAGGCAAGGGGTGGTGGACAGGCTACAGGAGAGAAGAATCCTTCTCCAGGAAACCAGACAGAAGGTGGAGCCTGAGAGGGGACCACAGAGCAGGTAGGGCCCCAGGCAGTGCCTTCTCCAACCATCATCCACTTTGGGCCTTTCAGGAACTGCTCATTTGGACTTTGTGAAGCTACTGACTGTTTGGACTATGCCCCAAAATTGAAGGAGCACATAAGTAGGAAGTAGCCCAGGGCACTAGATTTTGGTTATGGGAAGGAACCTGCCAGTGTTACTTCCCACACCCCACTTATGGGCAAAGGACCAGATGTAGGAGGGAGGACCAAACACTCCTGTCCTGGGGTCAGGAACCAGGCACTGCTGCTATCCCCTGACAGAGACAAGGGGTTGGAGGTCAGATGCACTGACCACTAGATCACCCTGCCCTCCAAGCACCCTATCACAGTAAGCTATTTTTCATGTTCATTGAACTGACAAATGGTTTGTTGTTTCTCTTCTCAAAAGATATCTGTTGGAATACTTCTGTTTAACCCAGTTGCTGTCCTTCCATCCCACTCCATAGACTTTCCTTCTGTACCTCTGTTCTCCTGCACTTTCATAATAGTTACTATGTCTACATAATAGACATCATTATTGTCACATTTAGTGGTTGAGGGGGAAGCAGCACCTCCTTCAAAGTGTACTGTCAGTTAAAACAGAACAGGGGGCTCTAACCGTTTTAACTTCAAGTTTTCATATCACTTAAAACTGTAGAAAAATGTTTTGCCACCGAAGAAGCACGCCAGAAGAAAACAAGCCTGAATATTGCCTGTTTCCATCAAAGTTTAAGTAGTCAAGCTCATCCTTTACTATTGCGTTCAGTTCTGGGCACTCAGAACCAGAAAGATGTCAACAAGCCGGAGGGAATTCAAAAAAAGAGCAATAAAATTGACTAAGGGCAAGAAGGATGGATTTATATAGAAAGATTAAGAGCCCTGTAAACAAAACCCTTACTCAGACCCTTTGTCGCCAGTTGGAGTTTTGCCTGAACAAGGAATACAAGATTGGGCCCTAACAGAACTAGTTATAATGTGTATAATTTGATCAAATGATTTTAAATGGAGACACAAAATCCATCTACAAGTATCTGAATGGTTTAAACAGCAACAGCAAAATCATTCATTCAGATCCACATACATTTAAAAAGTGACAAACAGGTTGGGCAATTTTCCTGTCCAAATAGCCCCACCATTTCAAGTTTTCAAATAAAGCCATACGATACCAAAACACCCTTGTCTATTGCAAAGCCAATAGAGAGCTAACAGCCGACAGCCATAATGAGAAGTCAAATCGATGATCTAAAAGGTCTTTTCCATCTCTGATTTCTGAAGGCCTAAATTGTGACTGGCCTCAGCACAGGTTTGGACAGCAGGAGAGAAGGTGCAAAAATGCAATGTCCAGTTCCAGTGGAAGTCCTTATGTTTGCCCAAGCATAAGGACGGCTTGGGTCTAGTGCATCCACTGATGCTAGACTTTCTAAAGAGGATGTCAATGAGGGAGGGTGCCCTCTATATCAAAATGGAGTTGCCCAATTTGAGTGTTGAGCACACACACTGCACCAAGTCTCAGCAGCAAACCCCATCTACCCCACATGACAATTTCAGGAAGACTCTGTGAGGGGCATCTCAGGCTATTCTTTCACTTAAGCCCCGCTATAGAGTGTTACTTTTGGGTAAATTTCATTGGAAGTACAAAACGCAACTCATCATGTACCTGTATGTGACAGCCAAGCAGCAGTAGAACATCTTGGTTTACAAATTTATTAAGAGAGCTCTGTTGCATAGAACATTTTTCTACAATTAATTATTCCTAGTGGTATATTAGAAAACAAAGAATACAAGAGAAAAGCAACACATTTTCTCTCTCATAACATATTTATCTTAAAATAAACAGAAGAAAATCATAAGGACAGCTTTGTTTTTCTGGCACTAAAATGTTTAAAAACTGAACATGTCGTTGAATCAATTGACTACACACAGAGTTCTTTCTTTATTCATATTATATCAAGATGAACATGAAAACTAAAAGGTTACAGGGCAGTAATTTTACCTGTGCAAGCTATTCCAGTGAAAGGCATCATTTTAAATGCCTTGTTTAAGCCATTTAATATTAAGTTTGTAAAAATGAGTACCATATTACTGAATTTTATTTTCCTTCACTTAGCATAAAATTAGGAGTGACCTGTACTATTTTCATCTTACTGGGTGAAGATTCAAAACCAAGGGACCACATGATCATGGAGCAAAAGCATTCAGGAATTGAAAAAGTAAAGAATCTTTCTTTTTGTCCTCCTGCTACAGTAATATTCCTCAAATACTGCAGTATTCTCAATGTAGTGCTTATATTTTATTAAAGTATGTCATTAATTTGAAGAACACAATGATATTTTTATAGAGTGGGCTAGGATATGGGACAATCACTTAATCCTGCGTGGGAAAGATCCCCACTTCACTC